CACCCACTGAACACCTGGTGACCACTGAACACCTGGTGACAACACCTGGTGACCACTCACTGAACACCTGGCAACTGCCTGGTGACCACTGAACACCTGGTGACAACACCTGGTGACAACTCAACACCTGGTGACCACCTGGTGACAACTCACTGAACACCTGGTGACAACACCTGGTGACAACTCAACACCTGGTGCCCACCTGGTGGCATCTGCCCACCTGGTGCCCACCTGGTGACCACTGAACACCTGGAGAACACCTGGTGGCAACACCTGGTGACTGCCTGGTGACCACTGAACACCTGGTGACAACACCTGGTGACAACTCAACACCTGGTGACCACCTGGTGACAACTCACTGAACACCTGGTGACCACCTGGTGACAATTCAACACCTGATGACCACTGACCACCCACTCAACACCTGGTGACAACACCTGGTGACCACTGAACACCTGGTGATCACTGAACACCCACTCAACACCTGGTGACAACACCTGGTGACCACTGAACACCTGGTGCCCACCTGGTGGCATCTGCCCACCTGGTGCCCACCTGGTGACCACTGAACACCTGCTGACAACACCTGGTGACAACACCTGGTGACAACTCAACACCTGGTGCCCACCTGGTGGCAACTGACCACCTCGTGACCACCTGGTGACAACTGAACACCTGGAGACCACCTGGTGACAACACCTGGTGACAACTCAACACCTGGTGACAATTCAACACCTGGTGACAACTGAACACCCACTCAACACCTGGTGACAACACCTGGTGACCACTCACTGAACACCTGGCAACTGCCTGGTGACCACTGAACACCTGGAGAACACCTGGTGACAACTCAACACCTGGTGCCCACCTGGTGACAACTGAACACCTGGTGACAACACCTGGTGACAACTCAACACCTGGTGACCGCCTGGTGGCATCTGACCACCTCGTGACCACCTGGTGACCACTCAACACCTGGAGAACACCTGGTGACAACACCTGGTGCCTGCCTGGTGACAACTGAACACCTGGTGACAACACCTGGTGACCACTCAACACCTGGTGCCCACCTGGTGGCAACTGACCACCTGGTGCCCACCTGGTGACCACTCAACACCTGGAGAACACCTGGTGACAACACCTGGTGCCTACCTGGTGATCACTCACTGAACACCTGGTGACAACACCTCGTGACTACTCAACACCTGGTGACAATTCAACACCTGGTGACAACTGAACACCCACTCAACACCTGGTGACAATTCAACACCTGGTGACCACCTGGTCACCACCGAACACCTGGTGACAACTGAACACCTGGCAACTGCCTGGTGACCACTCACTGAACACCTGGTGACAATTCAACACCTGGTGATCACTGAACACCTGGTGAACACCTGGTGACCACTGAACACCTGGTGCCTACCTGGTGGCATCTGCCCACCTGGTGACCACCTGGTGACCACTGAACACCTGGAGACCACCTGGTGACAACACCTGGCAACTGCCTGGTGACCACTGAACACCTGGTGACAACACCTCGTGACTACTCAACACCTGGTGACTACTCAACACCTGGTGACCACTGAACACCCACTCAACACCTGGTGCCCACCTGGTGACCACTCAACACCTGGAGACAACACCTGGTGCCCACCTGGTGACCACTGAACACCCACTCAACACCTGGTGACAACACCTGGTGACTACTGAACACCTGGTGACAACACCTGGTGACCACTCAACACCTGGCAACTGCCTGGTGACCACTCAACACCTGGTGACCACTGACCACCCACT